ACTTATTTGTCATGTAACAAACCAATTTCATACTTCTCTAAGATGCTTGACATGAATAAAGCCCACCATAAGCACATAATGAGCAGGTCCAAGGGATAACAAATTATACATGATGATGAACAGCATTACTTAAACAATTCTTGCATAAGATTAGAAAGTATTTATTAGTGGATTTGTTCTCAAATCTTGTTAACATAAAAGGACTATGTTTGGTAGCATACATGATATTCCCATCCTTGAAATGTAGAAAGCACCTAAAGCGGATGCAAAGATTACTATCACATAGGTTATTTTTTAACAAATAAAACATTATATACAGAAGAAGAAACATACCGTGAAACATCCGATTTTTGGAGGTGTACCAGGTGGCAGATCACTTTCATCAGCATAAAATGCTTCCAAATGGAAAATATGAGTAGCTCGGTGAAATGTAAGCATCTTAACACTCGGAAATGGTTGACCTTTCCGAAATAGTATATTACTAGACAATGTGGTAATAGGACCTTCCTCAGATGAAAATCCTATGGAGAACGGAAACGAGTCTTGAACCTGCAAATGACATGCAGTACTTCTCATTAAGCTTGGAAAGCTAAAGTATCAATAATATGGAAAAACATATAATACCTATGCATTCTGAATTGTGCACAATAAACAGAATAAAGTTTCTGAATAAACCACAGCTCAATAAAAATCAAAGGAGCATGATATATTGTTCTTATATCCTGCTTAGATAGGGTTATGGATGAATAATATTGTATAGAAAATCATCATGTGATGTGAGACATCCAATATTCAACTTGTACTAGAAGGATCACAATCCTTCTTTGAGTAATTCTCCAAACTAATATACCAAGGGTCATAATGAAGTGACAACTTGACACTACCCCCAAATTTGCTTAACCGGTCACCTTTACGAGGCTTAAGGGCAAAGGCATACCTCAGGGTGATGCATTTTGTGTTTATAAGGAACCAGCCCGCGATATTTACAATGTAAATACAATTACGATTTAATTACCATTCATAATTCTTAACTTCCTATGCAAATTCTAATTCCTACTTTCTAATGCTTCGAATACCTACCTTTTCAATTAATTAAATTGGCAATATATCTTTCATATATAAATAAATAAATAACTTTTTTTTCCTTCATGCAGTAGACAACTACACGTATTCTAGAAGTATATTTGTGCTGATGTTTTTATGTTCATTCTAACATGCAGTTCAACAAAGAGCACTAGTGCGACAGGGCCTAGTTCAAACCACTTAACAACAATACTGACAGGGAAAGTATATGCGTTAGAAAGGACAGGAAGCCACCACACAGGGTGGCATTATCCTTCAACACAAATATATTAAATACAGCACGATATTGTCACTTTAGCAACAAAAAAGATTTGATTCTAAACATCATGCAGTTTAAGCAGAAAGCTTCAAAACATTCATAAATGCATACCTCATATTCTCTAACCCTGAAAACAGGGCTAAGCATCGCCGACTGCAATGCACATCCTCTTGCCACACACTCACTCGCATTAAGCGTCCTTCCTGGCTCCCGTCCAAAAAACCCTGACAAGATCCTCATGATCGCCGGAATCCTTGACCCCGAACCCACCAACTCCACCGAATTCACCTTCTCTGTGCTCAACCCTGCATCTCTCAATGCCTTCTTAATAGGCACAAGAACTCTTTCCACCAAATCAACACTCAATCTCTCAAAATCCTCCCTTTTGATGAACCCTCTCACATCCTTCTCATCCATCAAACACTCAATATTCAGTGGTGCTTCAGCATTTGCACTCAACACCTTCTTCAGCTTCTCACAAGCCACCCTCAGCCTCATGCTCGCCCTCGCATTGCTATCAACATCAATATGATATTTCTCCTTAAACTCCTCTGCAAAATATCTAAACAACACCTCATCAAAATCCCTCCCACCTAAATTAGCATCGAACCCATGAGAAATCACCCTCATTCCCCCAGATTCAAACGCCACCACGGAGACCTGAGTGTCACAATGACCAATGTCCACGAACACAACATTCCACTGGCTCGCTAGATCAGTCTTATAAATCCCATACCCTATAGCAATCGCCGTCGTATCATGCAGAAGCCTCAACGGTTTTAGCCCGGCAATCGTCGCCGCATCAAGATACAATCTCCTCTGCAGATCGGTGAAGTAGACCGGGATCCCAATAACGCAATCCGAAACCTGGGTCTGGAGATTCTTCTCGGCGATCTGCTTTAAATGAGACAACAGCATTCCTAAGATCTGCACAGGGGTGAAGGTTCTCGATTCGTTCAAGAAGTTGATGTGGATCAAGATCTGACCGTCTCCGGCAGCAGAGGTGGCGAATGGGAACGATCTGAGGTCGCTTTGGGCGGCGGGATCGTGGAAACTGCGGCCGAGGAGCGCGTTGAGTTGGAGATGGTGGATTTAGGGTTTGACGACGAGCGCGAGCCCAGAAGCCGCTGCTTCTCGGCGAAGGAGACGACGGAGGGGTCTCGCGCTTGGATTCCTCGTTGAGGAGGACGTCGATGCGCGCTGCTTCACGCGGCGATCACAGCGGTGTCGTTGCCGATGTCGAATCCGACAACGCTCATCGTTGCCAATGTTGTAACACCAGATTTTCGGGCGGGGGGCGGGGTTTGGGGCGCGGCGGGCCGGGGGGGGGGGGTGGGGGTGTGGAGATTTGGGGTATGGAATTGGGTTACGTTGTGCCACGGGAGCAGCGAACGCGCGGCTTGTGGAGGCGCGTGAGTTTTGAGATGTCGGGGTTTTGGAGGGCCGGGCCCCGCGGCAGAAGCTTCTAGGAGGTTCGCCTGGTTTTCAGGTTTTCCATCGAGAAAAAGGAATAATAAATAGAGGGTGCAAATTGTCCGGATACAACTCAGCTTGGCACTTATCACCTCAGTACGGATTTAAGAATCATTGGCATGGAATCATGGATGCATATATCTCGGGAAAAAAACTTTAAGTGTATATTTGCAAAAATTGGATATATATATATATAGAAAATGGAGAAACTTGGCATCAAGTATCTTCATTGGTCTTGGTAGTGATGTGGAGTAATATGAGCTATTGGATCTTTCTTTGACGAAACTTCATGTAATTAAATGACATTATGCAAAAAAAACATTTTTTTAAAAGCGCTACGGTATGATTCCACTCTCTCATATGGATCTCTCTCTCTCTTCACTCATTCACATACCCTCTCTCTCCATCTCAATCTCTCACTTCCTTAAAAAAATTCTGCAGCCATTGCCGCTGAAGCTCGCCACCACCTGTAGAGCCACCGCCACCTCAAACTTGTCGTCGCCTGTAGAGCTGCTACGTCCCAAAGTGAAGGAAATCGTGCTATGTCTACATGCGTAATACACAGCGGAACACATGTATGTAAAAAAAATTACTAAGCATGTAGAGAGCGTGAAATATTCATATGGACCGTCTAATTAAATCTAACATGATTCTTATTGTTAAGAGAGCATACAAGGTTTGAAAGTCATACTTTGGAATCGAACAACATTTAGCTTGCTCTCTTTGATGCAGAAAGCTCCTCGTAGTGGATCTCCAACTCTTCAAGTAAACCCGAAAGCTATTAGATGCTGCTTGAGACGCAAGGCAAGATATCCACCCCGGGTTCTTAAAATCCTACTATTTCCTCTTACTCAAAGATTGCTAGAGTTTAGTAAGAGGTATAGCTCTCTTGTTTTCTCTTATGAAAATTTAATTTTCATTAGCCTTTTATGAAGAGAAAGAGCTCATATTTATAGAGTGAAATGTGTTAATGACATGAATGACTCATCCTATGAGTCAAGCAATGATCATCAAAAATTAATGATTAATCAAGTGAGTCATACAATGAATCATCTTATGAATCATTACATTTCAAAACCATGTGCTAATAAACCAAAACCATGTGCTAATAAACCATGTGCTCAAACCATACCACTAAGTGACTCATCTCATGACTCATTATACATGGTATGTGTATTTTATAAATGAGAATACCAAATTATTATTACTAATACAATATTTCATAAATATGGTATATAGTATTATTCCAATCTTTAACTAATTAGTCACTATATGACCAAATAAATCAAGAGTTGACCAAAAGTCAACTGTTGACCAAAAAGTCAACTAGTTGACTAAAAGTTAACTTTATGGGGAAAATACTGAAATTCATTTCCTAAGCACATAGCATTCTAATTTTACCGATATACATAACCGTTTATGTGTATCCGGTAAAAAAATCTTATATGCGTATCATTCATACGTATCACTCTATAAATTGTGTTTCATAGGATTCAAGTACGCGCTTGGTGTGACTCTAGGGCCCAACTCAAAAACTCGGTAGTGGATCATATCCACAAGTACAACAGAGGTGCTAGCTGCACATGAAGACTATCCAGATATGAGTTGTATAAAGGTTTGCAAGATGCTTATCCAATTTTATCAGGATCACTCAGTGATAATGCCGTACAGTCTGATCTCTTCGTCAAACCATGTCAAACTATTGAACCTAGGGTATGAAAAACTGTCAAACCCTATTTGCTCAATTAGTGTTTGCTGATATTAAACTCATAACCTATAAGATCAAACTGACACTCAGTTTATCTTATTTACCTCGGCCAAGGATTTCTAGGTTATAGTTATATCAAATAATCTTATGATATTAACCCCTTATACTGGGAGAGACGAATCACATACTGGCATCTCAATATCTACTTATGCCTCGAGATGTACCCAACAAGAACCGTTATGCACAACTCGATAAGAACTGTGGTTAGGTAAAAGTCTAAGTACACCATGCACAACTCGATAAGAACTGTGGTTAGGTAAAAGTCTAAGTACACCTATACTGACATGTAAGATATTACACTCATGCCTCAGGTCAAGAGACTACTATGTACTATATCACTTGAGAACTTCTATTTGACAGTTAAGTATAATTACCAACTAGATGTTCTCAGTGAGTTGTTCAGTCAACTCATTCACTAATGAGTCACCTGTATACTGTATCTTGATGTCTCATATCAATGATCTAAGAGATTGATCATCTCCTTCAAAAGGAGAAATAGAGTATACACTAGTTTTAACCAAAGTGATGATGTCCTATTTTAACACTTCATTGACTAGGAACATTTTAGAATATACGTTAATGACAAATCAGATCTCTTCATTACGATCATATCCGAAATATCTGATAGTCTGGTATCATTCTAAGAACTTTATCTGTATGAAAATACCAGATAAATCTGACCAAAATAGCATGCTATTATTTTGAACAAGGATGTTATATTCAAATAGGTCTTGTTACAATATATAATTATTGTCTGCAGGGCACCTATATCTAACACGAAGCACAATCCGAAGCTCACTGTCGCCGCCCGAAGCTCGTCTTAGTCAAATCCCCCCACCCCCCCCCCCCCACACACACACACACACACACACACACACTAGAAGTCTCTCAACATGATCCACCTCAACCTCAGCTCCAATCAGCTCCAGGGCTCTATCCCCAATCTGATTACGAGCTTGAGCTCCATTCGTAAGCTTAACCTGAGCTCTAATGAGCTCAACGACACCCAGCATGCCACTGTTTGGGGACCTTGTTATGCTTCGGGAGCTGTCGGTTTCGGGAAATTTGATATCTGGGTTGGTGCTCGGTTCGATGAAATTGATGACCGCGCTGACCCATTTCGATCTCAGCTCCAATTCGTTCAATGGGAGCCTGCTGAGGATGAGGAGCTTGAAATACTTGAATCTGGAGAATAATAACTTCCAGGGTCTAGGGTTGGTCGAAATGGGAATTTGTGCTATAATCACAGTTTGTTGTCCTCCAAATTGAAGCTTAGGGTTTCTCTTTGTGATAGGTACGGGTTACCGGCTTCACCGTTGCCGAATAAATCTGACTCTTCGTCATCATCGAGGTCGGATACGTCGGATTATGACGATAAGGGGGATGGCAGTGAAGAGATGAAGAAGAGCAGTGGAGAAGGGCATCATGGCCCGAGCACGCTTATGCTTATTGTGGCCATTTGGGCTGTCTTGTTTGTGATTTTGTGGTCTTTGAGTGTTTGAAACACGCTGTGAAGAGAGAGTTTTTTTCTTTTTAATTGAAGGTATTTAGTGAGGATTAAGAACGCCACAAATGGATTGATAGTTTATGTATTTGGAATGCATTGTTCTCTGGGTATGGAAACACGATGAAGAGGCTATTTTAGTTTTTTTGTTTTTCTTTTTTGAATATCGCACCATTAGAGTTTAAATTGCAACTGAGATAGTGATGTAAGTTCTTTCCTTCTGAATCAAATAGGTTGATGTTTGGAAGAAAATTGGCAATAGTACCTTTCAGAATTGACTATATTACTTTCTTAGAGATGTTTTTTTGCTTGTTTCTGATTGGTTTTTATGATTTGCATGTCAAAGTGTCGTAAATGATGTAGATGATTTTGATGGATTGAATTGAATGGTGCAAAATCATATCTCCAGCAACATCCATAAGTTGCTCGCTTGTGGTGGTGTCGGAAGGCGAGGGCGGTAGCGGATTTGTCAGAAGGCGGCGAGCACCGGCCCAGATATCAAATTGCCTGAAATCGACAGCTCATGAAGCATAACTAGGTCCCTAGCAGTGGTATGCAGCATTCCGTTGAGCTCATTGGAGCTCATGTTAAGCTTACGATGGGAGATCAAGCTCACAATTAGATTGGGGACAGAGCCCTAGAGCTGATTAGAGCTGAGGTCGAGGTGGATCAGATTGAGAGACTTCCAGAGGGCAGCAGTGACGGGGTTAGAAGGGGGCTTCATAGCCGGTCTCTCTTCGGGTGTAGGAGCTTCGGGGTGGGCGTCTTGAGGCAGCAGGCAAGCGGCGAGCCTTCAAGGGTTCGGTGGCGCTTCGAGAACGTAGCGGCTCTACACGGTGGCACAAGCTTGAGCGGCGGCGACAGTTCTACAGGTGTGGCAAGCTTTAGCGGCGATGGCTGCAGAATTTTTTTAAGGAAGTGAGAGATTGAGATGGGAGAGAGAGGGTATGTGAAAGGTGAAAACACACACACAGCACAACACACCACACACACACACAGAGAAGAGAGAAGAGAGATGATGAAGGAGTACTTACGACGGAGGTATGGCGGGAGAGGGGAGGGAGACGAGGGAGGGAGATGGAGGCAAGAGAGACGAGAGAAGACATTAGGAGAGAGGAGGGGCGAGAGAGTCGAAGAGGGGAGAAGGAGAGAGACGGATGCAGGGAGGCGTAGAGATTGAGAGGGGAGAGAGAAGAGGAAGAGAGAGGGAGACGGGAGGAGAGTCGAGACGAGGACGGATGCGAGAGAAGTATAGGACAGGTGAGGGGGAGACAGGAGAGAGAGGAGAGATGAGGCGAGGAATGCGAGAAGACGAAGAGAGAGAGAGAGAGAGAGAGAGAGAGAGAGAGAGAGAGAATCATAATGTAGCGCCATTTAAAAAAAGTGGGGTTTTTTTTGCATAATGTCATTTAACTACACGAAGTTTCATCAAAGAAAGATCCAAAGGCTCATATTACTCCACATCACTACCAAGGCCAATGGAGAAATTTGGTACCAAGTTTCTCCATTTTCCTATATATATATATATAATAATATATATATGGAAAAAATATG